TCAGAAGAGTAAGAAAGTTTGAGGGAGAGTAAAGAAGAGTAAGAAGAAGAGTTTCCCATAGGAGGAGCAAGACATAGAAATGTCCTGTCCCATGAACAATTTCTAGAGATGCAATAGTCTTTCTATTTCCCCATTGTTAGGGCAAAAAAAAAAAAAAAAACTTCTTTATTTTCTAACTGACCATTAGAACTGTGGGGCAGGGCATGAGATCAATTTCTGCTTCTTCACACTGCTGCATTTTTAGCTTGCTCTGTGGCTCTGTTTCAGCCTGTTCCAAGCAGCTTCCTCCAACATGAAGCCTGGGTGTGGTTTGGGATAGATCAGTCCAGCAGCTGCTCCAAATCAGTGTTGCAAAAACACTGCATCAGCCTGGACTCCCTCTGAAGCTCTCCAACACAATCCCACCAGCTCTGCACATCTTCATACACCATCCCCTCCTGTCCATGTGGGCATGAAACACAAATCCTTCTCATTGCTGCCATCTAAACAACCTTCAGCAGCCTGCAACATGGCCCTTTTAATAAAAGTATTAGTTACTTTGACCTGAACACACACACACACAAGAACAGCAATGTCTGGGGACTACCACAAAACCACAGTGGGGGTGGAGATCAGGGTTAACTGCTTGCTATACAGGTGAGCTCTTGGAGTCAACCTTCTTTAGAAAGGTTTAATCCTGACTAGGGCAGACGCAAACCATTCCATACTCCTAAACCCTCTCACTTAGCAGCCCCAATAAAGTTTCTATTCAATTATAAAATTCCAGACGAGCTTTATGTGAGGATCACACACTCATATGGACTGTAGATGTCGATACTGCTGAATTGTTACTTTCAGCTGTAGAATTTAATTATTCTACTTCTGTACAGATGGTGTTATTATGTGGTGATGTTTGTCTTCTGACACCTCAGGGAGGAGAGCGAAATAAATTTTCTACGTTCAGTGTGCCAAAGGGACAGTTTGAATAAGAAATGTTGCAATCAGACTTGTATGACTATGTCTTCTGGCATGAGTGATGAATCCAGGTCTTTCAGATATTGTTTTCTAGGGCTGCTTACAGATCTAAAGTATTTCTTTAAAAATGCTTTAGGAAAATTATACTAAAGTTAGGTTTATTTTAACAGATGAAAGAAATGAGTTAGTTCATACTGACTGATTTCTAGGCTGTGTTCCCGATTCTGACTTTCCCTTTACTTTTACAGGCTGGTGGGATCAATAATCCTTCGGCTCATCAGTCAATAATTACTTATATGGCATCATTCCTTTGTAACTGACAGCTGAGACAAGATCTGGGGCCCTCTTGCTCAGCTTCCCTCTACAATGCCTTCCTAAATACAGCTGATCTGACATTGCTGAAAGGACCAAAGAAACTCTATTTATAAGGATGCATTCACCAAATGTGCATAATGAAAATTTCCTGGAAATTTAAAATATTTCTCTGTGGGAAGCAAGGAAAGTGTTTCTCCTTGCATGGCATCATGAAATCGTAAGTAGCAGAACTTTTCCTGCTGTTGGACATTATGGTGGCATCAGCATTTTTTTTTGCTCTAAAGCATTTTAATTGTATGACAAGTGTAGGTCCTGTCACTTAAGAATGAATATCCAGTATTTGTTGCAGAGGCAGAAGTACTGAGAGGGAGAAAATATCTTCCCAGAGTTCAGTTTGTACAGTACCCATCACTAAATTTGGTGTGCTGCACAGTTGGCTTAATTTCAATTTGTTCCTTAGTGAATGTCTTTTAAGGCTATTACTGTCTTATTAGCTATTGTTTACTGGTTTGGAGTGTATTACTTCAAAAAAAGACCACTTCATATTAAAAAAAATTCCTAGGGGAAAATTAATCTCACTGCACCCTACAGTGAATTGTGATAGCTCATCAGCTTTTATTTACTGAGAAGTCGCAGGGATAGAAATCAATTTATTTTTTGAAGAATATACATATTTTCTCTCTTGGTTGTGTGAGGTTCTATCCCCATTTGTTAAGAATCTAGAGAAAATGTTTGCAAAATTCAAATTTAAAGAATGTGTTTGCCAGCAAACTTTCCTGAGAAAGAATGGAGTTTAGAAAGAAGAGAACAGTGTTTCTATAGGAGGGTACTAGCTTAGCAATTTTTATGGCTGACACCAGATCGTTTAGTATGGCCTGTCATCTTGCTGCAGTGGCGCCTTTCACTGAAGTTTGTTGGGGAAAAAAAGCAACTGAATAAGCAGAGATTTTTCTCACATGTTTATGAAAAGAAGACAATGTTTCACAGTTCTAAGAGACTCAAGCTGCTAATACTTTGAGTAAATCATATGTGCATATCATAGCCCATTTGCAAAACTGAAGGTTTGTTTGCTTAAGTTGTAATCCTCTAAATACCTTGCAGCAGCTCTGAGGCAGACGTTGTTGAGCCAACAGCCTTGTCTGCCACGCTGAGCACCTCAAATACAAATAACTCAGTAAGAGCAGGGGCCACACTGTGTCCCCCAGAAGTGAATCCAGGGGACACAGATTCTAGGCTTGAATCTAGTAGGCACCAAGGTGATGACAGAAATGGATTTAAAGGTAGAGGAGGCACTGCCGCAATAATTTGGAATTAAATCAAACAAAATGTTGCCTCCCTGTTGAGAGAGTATGATGTGTTAAATCCATGATACATTTCTTCACTGGTGCTATCTGGGCTGTGTTTACTGTCATGAGTGCCAATCTGCAGTGGGTGAAGCAATTCCCTGTATGCATTTACAAAATGTTTTGGAATACTTCAGGATAATAAAAGTTAGTTGAGTAAATATGATTAGAGTGCAATGGCCTTATTTTCACTGTGTTATTGCTATAATCCTAGAAGGAAGATTCATATATGTGCACACAGGAATGAAATTCCAAGGAAGAAGAAATCCATAATATCAGCTATCAGCCAATATTATCAGAGAATTGAATTTTTCTATCCTTACTTTGTTACTTGTCTCAGGGGAAATCTACCTTAATGCATGAAATCAGCCCAAGACCACTAAATGCTTTTTGCAAAGGCTAGAATACTGGATACTACAGCATTAGATATAGCACTATCTGAATGAGATGATCATGTCATTGAACAAAACTAAACAGCACCTTGTGATGGAGTTCTACTGAAGCTGAAGAGGACAAATATATGTGATAAAGTGCTCCTGAATGTGAGAAAGGAAGGCAAAAATCATGCCACAAGTATATAAAGATACCGTGTGCATTAAACCATAAGAAAAAATTCTGTGGTCTAACTCACAAGTCTCAAAGAGGGTGAGAAGACTGGTAAAAGCTTTCGCTCTCCCTCTTCTTCGATTTACAGGGGAAACACATCAAGTGTTATATAAAAATGGGGAAAATCTCGTCCTCAATAACTGAAGTATTCAGGCTCAAAAAGCAAACATCCAGTTGATGCTTTTGATTTGAAGGCAGTATATACATAGGATTTCCATGAAAGTCCACATCCTTCAGGCAGTGCAAGGCGATAACTCCTTTAGACTGGTATCTTATAGAAAGACTAAGAAATTATCAGGAACTATAGGCAGCCTTACTACTACAACAGTACATACTTGATTCCCTCTTGTGATAAATCCGTACTCGTTTTATGTGAGTTCAGTGACATCCTATTTACTTTCTAAACATGGTCAGTATAATACAGAAATATTTGCCTTGGTGCACTGATAAAACTGAATGGGATTGAGTGCTATAAACAACAGGAGAATCAATTTGCACCCTCAGACACAGAATCTGTGTCAGACTTTTGCAGCTGTGGTGGAAATACTTATTACCACCAAAATATCTCTATGAAACTGTTATGTTAGCAATTAAGAAACACCACCATCACAGATTGACATTTAAAATGGCAATCACAAGAGGCAAAACAAGTTTCATGTATACATTCTGGCAAAGCTGTATGCACCCTCTTTAAGGATGCATTTCACATTATGAGCAGTCTTATTACAATTTTATTGCAATATTTAAGGAGTACTTAGAAGATACTATTAATTTTTTTAAATATGGTTTATTTGTTTGCATCTTATTTTACAGGCACTCTTCCAGCCTCCAGATTCATTTCTCAAATTAAAGCTAGTGATATTTCCATATCAAAGTTTAAAATTAATTTGCTTTGTAGGACATGCCCCTTGATCTAAAATACTACATTTTAATTAGGGCATTTAATTTTCTCTAATGGAAACACATTCCATTCACTTAATCCAACTGCTTTCTGTAAGAGCTATAAGCAGTGCATTTTCTCAGAACAAATCCTTCTAAGACTTGTTCACCTTAGAACATTGCACCTGTGCTGCTAAACTGATTTCAGATTGATCTACTTATACCCTTGCAAAATGTTATTGAAGTTACCTTTAACTGGGTTTGCCCCAGTTTTAGATTAGTTTTATTACGCAGCTTAAACTTTTCTAATGTAGACCAGGCATAGCTAATAAGAGATAATGTATCATTGTGAGTATGTATTCAGATGAAAAATAATATTGGCCCACATTCCAGAGTTTGTCTATTTGGATCTGCACAGCCTGGAGTTTGGGCTATGTCCTGTCAACATTTTTTTTTATTTGTACAACTTCCTTCTTCCCTTTGCTGTCTTCTCTTCAACATGTTGCGCACATGTAGACAATGCCAGGTCATGTCTACTTCTCATTAGCAGGAGGGAGAAGGCATTTCCTAGGAACACTTTGCATATGCCAGCTCCTCGCTAGAATGCAATTCTACCAGCATGCACACAAAAACAAATGTAAATAGATTAGGTATATAAGTAATGATGGGCATCTACTATTTCAGATGTAGATAAAGTGATAGGAATTCTGTCCTCTTTGAGTCCATTGAAAGTAAATGTTCTTTATCATTTTTTTGTGTGCGTTTCATCAGCCCAGAAAAAAAAAAAAAAGCAATAAACGTAATGCACTGCGATAAACTCTGGCACACCTTCAGCTCTGTGATGGTTACAGCTCTCACAATGTACTAACATGGGACAACAAAATGGTTTAAGAAGCTGCCTACCTTGAAAAATAGCCAGGCTGTCATCCATTTGACTAATTTTACAACCCAAAAGACATGCTTGTAGAGCTCGGTATTCACTACTCCAGGGTCTACTACATTAGCAGTCACATGGCTTCCATTTGCAGTCAGAAGATGCTGTAGTCGATAGGTAAATAACACAAGGGCAAGTTTGCTTTGGGCATAGGCTCCATGGGGTGAATACGAACATCTGTATAAGAAAGAGAAAGAGAGAGGAACATGCTCACAAAAATAATCAGAAGGAAAGCACAAATATCAAATGTACTGCATTTCCTGCAATATCCAGCAAACACACAGCTGTGCACTGAGTGGTCACAAGAAACAGCTCATCACTAGTGGACATGTTGTTTGCTGTACTTGTCGTGATTACTCCATCAGACACAATGCCTGATTTACAGAAAAAAAAAAAAGAAAACATGGTACCTAACAGAATCTCTATGTCCAACTATTTTAACTGGCTATGCTGAAACACCAAGCATCTCCAAGGCGGTATCATCTCGCCCAAACAGTCTTCTCTTCCTCACGACCTTCTTCTCACACATACATAATCCGCCTTCCACTCAGTAAATCCATCCCTGATCAGACTACTGCTGGTTATGACTATTTGTATTGCAGCAGAACCTACTCGTTTGGGATTGAGGCTCCTTTGTATTGGTCACACGACAGATGATTAAGGCAATCATTGCAGCTACCCTAATAGCACACTAGATTACACACAGCTAAGGAGAGGGATAAAGAGATGGGGCAAGGAGAGTGGCTGTGTATGGTGTAAGTGCAACCACAGTTATGTCAGGTACAACACTTTGAGCAGAGAAAGGTGGCTGAGCTAGGCTTAAGCAAAAGAGAGGTAAAGTGCTGATGCACAAAAACGCAAATTCTGAGAGTTAGGGCAAATCGTTACCTCTTGAGGCTCCTATGCCCCTTGCTCAGTCTGGGTGCTGAATCTGCCTTTCTTTTGAGACAAACTTTTTAGGAACTGCTGATTAGCTGGGTTTCACTCCGGGCAGGTAGGACTATTTTTTGAATTAGCAGACCAGTTCTGGGCAAATTAGAAGGTACGTCACATAAAATGCTCACCCCAATATGGGCCTCAGCGTTGCTTCCACAAATGCCTAATCCAGGCCAATTCATTCTTGTAACTACCACGGGCCTCTCATTGCACCATTTCTGGGCTTAGCAGAACCAGAGGTAATGCCCAGCATCACGGGCAGCTCACAGGCAAAGCAGGCAGGTGCTCGCAGCAGCAGGCTCCTGGGGGCATCAGCAAAACAGCCCTGGCCCTCAGCCTCTTCTAGCTCTGCGGAGCCTGGGGAGATGTGCTGCTGATACGGAGACTGGGGTTAGAGCCCGCAGGGCAGCAGCTACCGCTGGCGGAGCAAGGAGGAGGAGCACCCACCTGGGGGCAGATCTCCCTGTCCCAGCTCTCACCTTCCTGACGCCTCTTTGCCCTCCTGCTGCCGGGACAGCAGCAGCCTTAGCACAACAAGCAACAAAGCTGGGGATGCTCCCATTCTGCAAAAAAGCCTGCCTTGAGCTTGCTGTGATCATTATCACATGCGAAGCTTTTGTTATGCAAAGACCAAGAAGCAAAATTTCTCAGAATTCTTTTCATAATCTAATTTTCATCCAAGATCTATAATATTCTGTATGCTTCACCATAGAAACACCTGGATAGCAGCAAACAGGTTGGTTCTCTGCAAAGACATAAGGTTACTGAAGCAATTCAAGTGTAAGCATTAGCAAACTGGTCTCAGAGACTAGGAGACACAGTGGTATTTCTTACAGCTCAGCTGCAGGAAGTAAAAGACAGCAGCACTAAATCTCCAGTTCCTATTTTTTTTTCTTCCTGCTCTATTCTTGTTCAAGAGAAACATAAACAAGTAGGCAGTGAAAGCATTATATAATTTGAGAGAGAATAAAAAATGACAGGGAATCATAGAAAGCCTTCATGCCAAGCAATGGCCCGAGCTGTTATGTGCTGGATAACATAGCTCCATCATCATAAGGATATCACCTGCGCCTCAGGGTAAAATGGGCTATTTTAAAAATAAAGAACAATCACTGCGTGACTAGAAAAGTGACTTGGCATTAGTCAGGGAATTGCAGTTATATTTTATATTCAACACTGTCCATATCCTCATCTGAAACACTCAAAATATCACTGGCTGCTTCATGCACATTTCAGCCCTTTTAACTGGCCATATTCCTGGCCACAACCAGCTTCCCTTGGACAGCAGTTCACGGAAGATCTAAGGCTGCCCGTGAGAAGCATTTATTGGAACCAGCCTCCATCAGCCTGCTGTGTCCTGGCATTTCTCAACTGGTGCCACCATCCCCCGGAACGGGGAAACACAAGCTAGGGCACAGGACAAAACTTACTGTGTTGAATTACAGTGATCCTGCCTGGCAGGCAGATCACGGAGGAGCAGGGTTAGGGACTACTCCAACTTGTTCCATATGGGTCTAGTCTGGCCTTCAGTAACCCTCAGGATCCACGCAGAAGGATGCTAAAAGCTCCCTACGACTCCCCATTCCCACATGCTGGGTGAGTGCTGTTTCGACTTACCTTGTGGCAATGAAGCACGAACTACAAGGACCGGATCCTCAAAAGCCTTGTACTTTGCATGTATATCTATGTCAGGGAAACATGAGTGCTCAGAAGATATAAAAAGCCATCCAATCAGTGTGGAAGCCTTTTATATCACAGTGCAGGGATGCAAATGATCTCTAAGGCAGCAGAGAGCGAGACTTCAGTAGTATTCTACAGGGATGGAGGATGTAAAGCTTGATACGCAACACAGACGCTTTTGACAGCACCTCCACACTG